AGTCGGAAACAATTCTCTGATACAGATCTTAATGTTGATATAGAGCTGCTCTTTATACATAAAGATCTTAGGGAACAATTATTAATTGATGAGTCATTTAAGATTCTTTGGGAAAAAGCAGCTAATGACTCCAACACTTTTGACTACAACGGGACCACTTCTGGATACAATATTATGGATAAAGGACATGATGCCGCCCATTATGTGTATTACATAGAAGGAGCTGCAATTCTACTGATCGGACTGGTAGGATTTGTAGTCAAAATGAGGGCTTCTTCTCAGAAAGGGGTCGTTAAAGTGATAAGGGTATGCTTCTCCATATGGTGCATCATTATTGGAGCATTAACCATCGTCCCGGAGTATTCCCGTTACGTTTCTCTTCAACCTAACTTCTCGGTTAAACTGCTTTTGATCGTGATAAGTAGCCTTGTCACTATGCTTTTGAAGGTTTTTATAGTGAGTTTGAAGGTCTTCACCGCTATCATTTATGCCTTTCAAAACATTCTGCTCTACCGACCATTCTACTTTCGAGAGCATAGGAAATTCTTGAGTAGGTGGTTACTTCGAATATCTCTAGGCCAAACAGTAGCTATATTGGCGACTTTCATAGGTTGGTCCATGATTCTGCTGTTTAAATTTCAGGAGTCCTGTAGTGGAATAGAGGCTCGGGCTGCCAGCTGGCAGATAACCCTGACATCAGTCACTATAGTTGGCTACGTCGGCTCGCTTTTCCTGAGCATAATTTTCCTGATAGGCTATTGGAAGAACAACAACAAAGACGTTGGAAAGTCTCAAACTAAGAATATCAAGAAAACAATGATATCTTGCTCGATAGAAATCTTGTTTGATTTTATTGTGCTGATCATGTATGCAGCATTGCCAATGAATTGCTTCTCATTTGATTTTGAGATATATGGAATCGAGCAAACTCACATTAGCACTAAGTGTGACATTTTTGTTAGGTCTTTGGCACTTGATGTTGGGCTCGCTAAATGTGGCACAGCTATTCTCATTTTGCAACCAACTATACAAGAGTTATTCTTTCTGATCTCCGAGCTCGTAGATTACTGGACAGAGAAGGCATAAAGACCGTTGTTGAAGAAAGGACGAAAATGAAAGGGATCGGGAAAACATTACGTTCATTGCTGAATTGAGAAGCTTATAGAGTCATGGACAACAACTGCTAGTGGTGTTAGGTTTAAAACATCAACCTACAGAAGTATACATGCTGAGGTCTAACTTAGTGAACTCTAAAACTCGACAAAAGACAAGGACATGGTAAAATTATATTGTTTTACTTATCGATTTTTGTTTTCATGATGTACCCTTTATTCATACAATCGTTTACCCACTACCCAGTTACCAGTACTGAGTACACACAAACTCTCATATAATAGTGCTGATATTAAAGTGTTTCAAATCATTATTGCTCTTCAATCTTCATGCTGATTGCTGTGTAAGTTATAATTTTGATTTTAAACATAATAGTTTCAATTTGATCTGTTTTGATGATGGAGCAATGAAAATAGTGAATGCATAGTGAATGCATAAAACTATATAAGATCCTATAAGTGCCTAATATTAATATGAAATAGATATAAATTCTCTCAGGATTAAAATCTCAAATATTGTCAAAATAATTGAAATACAAATAACCCTTGCGCATGGAAATTCAATAGTCAAAATAACTTATTTATAAAAATTTACTTAAAATTAGCAAATTCGTAGAAAAATGTAAATTTCATTTTCAATGATAATCCGTTTTATCTTTCATTTCAATAATAAAATTGTTTCATTTCAATTATACATCTTCAAGTTTATAAATTTATAAATTGTGTGACCTATATTTATAACTGGTCAATTAGTCTAGTTGGGGGCTTGATTACCCTCCCTGATCTGGTGGTTGTAGTTGTTGAGGGTTGTGTAGACTGTAGGTGGGGGTGATGGTGCCGGCGGTGGAGCTGATGGGGCAAATACTACACTCGTTGACATGTTGAAAACATTGTTCGCAAATTGTTGCCGATCTATCAGTGGTAAATTGTGCTGAGGGAGCCTGTTATCAACAGAAACTTTTCCCGCTGGTGCCTGAGGGTTCTGTACCGGAGCTGAGCTACCCATAACCATAGAGGCATCCTGCTTCGTGTCCGCAGGCTGAATCTGGTCATGATGAACTATCTTGGATTTGCCGGAAACGAAGTTTACAATTCCCCAGCATGATGTTCCAATCTTCTTGGAGATCTGGAAAATTTTTAACGGATGATACTCGTAAAATATTTGTTTCGTCGACGAGTCCGGGATATTCACCATGGTTTCTTCTTAGAAGCACCCAGTCCCCGACCTGGTATTCGTTGACATTAGTAGTCTTGTTAGCACGTTTCTGATAGCTTAGTCGAGACTCCTGCTTGTTAAGAGGGATCTTCTGCCTAACCAACCGTGGGTATTGAGCTTCTTTTTGATTAACACCCAACCTATAATTGTCGATTGGCAAGTTTGCTGACACTCCGTTTAAGCAGCCTCGAAAGGAGAGAATTTCGAAGATTTGTTTTGAGTGTTATTAAACATCAATATAGCTTCAGGCAGGAGCTCATCCCATTGCGTAATAGGGATGCGTCTAGATAGACACATAGATCGCGAAATTGTGTTGAGGGACCCAATAGCTCTCAATAGCAACCCCGCATCAGCTCCAACTCCAAGTGTGACCTGTTTATGAGGTTGGGGCACTTAATGTTGGGTTCTCTAAATGTGTCACAGGCATATGTTCCTTTTGCAACCAACTATAAATACACGAATTATTCTTTCTAATCTCCGAGCTGATAGACCGCATCAAAGAGGAGGTATGAAATAAAAATAAAAAGGATTGTAAAAAACAATGCACACCATGTCGGACAGAAACGTGCGTTCTATTCATTCAGGCAGTAGTTTGGAAGGACAATGCTAAGCCAAGAAGTAGAGGGACTTTTATTGTATAACGATGGGACGTTGTGTGGTTTCGTCTCTTTTTACGAGGGAGCAGTGCAAATGCTATCTGCAAAGAAATGGGATTTGATGCTGCTCGAAGCGATTGGGCGACATCTGTCCGACAGCGACATCCGTCCGACAGCCGAATTAGCGGTTTCGGACAGGAGTCGCTGGACACTGTCAGACAGGAGTCGTTTTTGGCGACATCCGTCCGACTTTCGGATCACATTTGTAATTTCGGATCACATTCGTATTTCACAAGCTCACGGGTAATCTTGTGACGTTGCTCCCATTGAGATCTGATCCATTGATACGTGATTGGCACATCACAGCCTACAGTACATATAGGAGAGCGGTATGGACATCAGTTATCGCAATCCACAATGGCAACCAATCTCCAGTTTACCCCTCGACGCAAGCAAGGCTCGGAGGACCCTGTCCTGAACTAATTTAGGTCATAGAATAGACAAGGCTGGTCGTTCGGGCGCCGGTCGGAGTTCGGTCGGGCGCTGGTCGGCGGTAGGTGAGCGCCGGTCGGAGGTCGATCGGACCGGTAATAGTGCCGTCAAAGATATGGTAAATGGAAGGTAATCTAGGTCACGTCCAATAATCGGAATAACACCTGCACCGGCACCAGCACCGGCACAGTCGTCCTGTTCGTACGTGGCCAGCTTAATTATTGAATTTATTCAACTTGGTGGACTCAAACAGTCTACGCGTTAACGATGGGAGATAAACGAAGAACTGGGCGGGTCACTTGTCGGGTACTGATTATATCTATAATCGTCAGCACTCAGCATCTTATTAATATTATATTAAATTGGAGTAACATTTAACATTAGAAATATTAAGAAAATACTTGAATTTCTTTTGGTCATAATCCTACGATATTTACGATTTTAAGGATTTTCCTATAAAATTTATTTGGTTCACCTGTTCCTCTTACCTCTCAAGCACAGCCAGAAAGTTATACGTAACACTTCAACTTATACTTCAGTATAGTTTGTAGTCATAAATATTGATTTTATACTGCAGTACAGCACCCGAATTAGACAAATTCCCTCATGCAACACGTCCATTAATACTAATAGTGACGGTATAAAAGAATTTTTCAATTTTCAAGCGCTAGACTATCAATATTTATACCGAACAAATGACATCCGCAAATTACAAAAAATCACTCATCTCATGAATTTCTCAAGTCTACTGCCGCAGTGACCACAATTTTTACTTATTTATCGACTGTCTATGTCCACACAAGTTTCATGAAAATGAGTTGTTCTCACGGTAGTCTACTGCCGCAGTGACCACAATTTTTACTTATTTATCGACTGTCTATGTCCACACAAGTTTCATGAAAATGAGTTGTTCTTAACAGGAAACACGTTTTGTATCAGTGTTCAATAGCTCATAACTAGACCCTCGGGTCATTAATGGTCTGCTTCGACACGAATAATCCATCCTCCGCAATCCGCCCCCTTACTTGCTCCCGCCCATGTTTTATTCGGAATGCTGTCCCTTCGTGATTAGTGTGCGTCTTCCATCATTTCCCCTCTCTATTACTTAGGCAAATGATGTTTGAATTTCGGTACAAATAGATCAAGTGCTATAAAACTAGGAATCGAGTTAATCTTACCTCCGTTAACAAATCATGAAGTTCTGAATAATATCAGAATAATATCAGTAACCCTGTTAACCTAAACTTTCTTTCCAACTGTCTTTTGGTTGGATATCAAATATTCGAATTTTTCTCTCACTTATGGAGTGTGAAGATTGGACGTTTGATGGAAATTTTTTGCTTTCAATTGTTTAGTTAGACTCACTCTAAAAATCAAAACTTTTACCGAGCTTGACATCATCAAATGATAGGATAAGAAATAATTACGGTCTGCATGTCTTATTTCATGTCATATTTTAATCATAATATCTGACGACGACCTCGCCTAGGTAAGTGAGCTCACTAATATAATTCTCATGGGTAATTGAGATCAGAAGTCATCATGGCTCACATGCACACTACTAGTACTGCACAACGGAAACAGTTTCAGTGTTAAATTCAAAATAGACAACTTCTTATGAATATAGCAATATAAGAAATAATCAAATCTACTTGAGCCACAAATATTTTTTTAAAGGTAAAATATCAAATATCGGAAATCTTGAGCTACGACGTTCCAAGTTTCTTGCTATCAAAACTGATCGGTTGAAAGAGTACATAATTTGAGGCTTGCCCTATAAATTGTCTAACTAGTTTATCAGATGATCGCATTACTTTTACACATTCGACCATGAACTTTTTGCTGATCGGACTAGTTTTTAAAAGAGATGATTCTAACAACTTTAAAGAAATCTGCACTGCAACGATGTTTGCCGAAGAATTGAAAACAAGTGCACTGCAAAAAACAGCTCCAGTCACTTTTTTCCTCTGACTAAAACTTAAATAACTGCACGACATTTCTGGCGAGTTCCTCACCACTATGACTGAGTATAATTTGAGCACAATCTCACACAGCTCCGCTGGTAACCGTGGTAACCGTGGTAACCGTGGTAACCATGGTAACGTCAGCTAAACACTACTCCTTATCACGTGATCAGGTCTGAACATTTTCCCTCATAGCTCGGTAGGATCCAGTGGACTGAAAGTAGTTGTTGGCAGCTCGAAGGAAGTGATTGGCTGAGTTGTTGGAGGGGATACGGTTCAGTTGGAACCTTGACCATGTTTTCCGGGTTATCTCGTACTCAGCCTGGGGAGAATTTTATAAAGTGTTAAATATTTCATTAAGGAGAACTTTATGAGTTGTGAAATACTTGGTAAATTTTACCGGGTAAAATGTTACTCGTTGATGTCAGATTTTATTTATCCCCATTAAACTTTAATAAAGTTCAAATATAACAATCGTGTTCAATAAGTTAAACTGTTTAAAACCTTTACCTTTAAATACTTTACTATGGTTTTAAAATGATTCAACTTCCTTGTAGCCTGGTTAAACTAACTGTTAACCTTGTTAAATTAACTTATAACATTGTTAAACTAACTGTTAACCTTGTTAAATTAACTTATAACATTGTTAAACTAACTGTTAACCTTGTTAATTTAACTTATAACATTGTTAAACTAAATTTTAACCTTGTTAAATTAACCTGTTAAAACGAATTTTTAACCTGAATAAAGTTTATCATAAACGTTTAACACAAATTGAAGAAGGTACAAGCAGCCGTTCATGATGCAATAACATTAAGTTTATTGTCAATGTTTTCCACCAACGTAATCATTGTTTGACTCTTCACTCACTTGAGTTCTGGCCTGCTGTCTCCTCTTCCTTTCCAGCTGGATTGTGGCTCTGGCTTGAGACACATCATTGTATGTGAGCTTCCCTCTGACACTAGACTGGTAGTTGGACACTGCTCCTAGTCGCGGGAATGGTGGCAGTGGTTCGGCACTTAGCGGGATCACTTTCGGCCTGCAGAACAGTTTTGATAATTACTACTTGTTTTCATGTCTGTCGAAACAAATGTTTGTTTTATCAGCTGTCTCCTTTGGGCTAAAGAAATAGTTCTTAGAATACGTTTTGGTCAGTGAGTTTGATTTTAGATTTTATCAAACGTATGTGGGAGGCCTTAGAGTTCATAACTTATATCGAACCGATAGAAAACTCACAATATTTTTAATCTATAGTTTCAAGTTTTTGCTTGATATATTAAAATCGTACTCCTTATACAAAAATCCTTTCCGACGCCTACTTACTATTGATGAGCTACCTGTAAATTTTTCCGACCTTTTGTCTATAATTACGTAATTTGACGTAAATCCTGTATAATATTAAAACTGAACAATTTTATTTTTAAAGCGAGCATGCTGTAATGACGCTTTTATAAAAGCCCGCCAATTATTATTAATATTCTCAGTTGCACGTCAATATATTTAATCAATCTTATCACGGACTTGATCATTTTTTAAAAGCATGATTTTTTCCTGCGAATTTTAAAGAAAGATTAGGATCACGAAGAAATTGCAAGATTTTTCCATTTTTTGCATTCTTGCTACAAACCGTTTTCCGGTGATTGAAACGGATGTTAGTTCTCGCTCTATTCCGAATTCCCTGATAGGATTTTAAAGGGTAACATTTTTTAGCTGGGAGAGAAGTAATTGAATATGCAATTTAAAATGGTTATATTTTGAAGTGATAATTCATAATTATGATTCTTTGTAATTGTAGCAAAGACTTTGATAATTTACTTTTACGACGAGTTTGTTTTCGGATCTGATACTGATGTTAAGACTTAATTACTTAACTACTTAATTACTTAATTACTTAATTACTTAATTACTTAATAACTTAATTACTTAATTACTTAATTACTTAATTACTTAATTACCTAATTACCTAATTACCTAATTACTTAATTACTTAATTACTTAATTACTTAATTACTTAACTACTTAATTACTTAATTGCTTAATTACTTAATTACTTAATTACTTAATTACTTAATTACTTAATTACTTAATTACTTAATTACTTAATTACTTAATTACTTAATTACTTAATTACTTAATTACTTAATTACTTAATTACTTAATTACTTAATTACTTAATTACTTAATTACTTAATTACTTAATTACTTAATTACTTAATTACTTAATTACTTAATTACTTAATTACTTACGTAGAATTCAATCCTCCTCCAGCTAACCCTGAATTAAAAGGATTTCAGTTCATGCATTAGTGTGTCTCACATTAAAAATTTATCATGGTCTCTCAAGGTCTAGCAATTTTACATAAAACTAATTGTCAAATTTTAGTTTCCATGACGTCAACACTACACTCGACTTACCAACAAGTTCTAGCACAGTCGGTCGAGATCTTATGACACCCGTTGTGGGTCTCTCAGGCTGAAACGAGAACTCATTTAGGAGATTTTACTCATTTATAAGCACCATTTTAATAATGTAAAGGAATTATAGCGATTTTGTAAAAGCATCTGAACTAGTTTTATGAGGCGCATAGTCAGTCAAGACTCAAAATTTTATTTCTTACAATTTCTTCGTATCATACCTGATTGATGTACTCGAAAACATGTCCGGTTGCACGATAGGGCCCGAGAGAAGCCGCATACTTTGCAGTTGGTTTCTTTGCACCATCCTTCTTCATCTGCTGGCTTACCATCAATAACGCTTTCATGCTTGTGCTTTCACGCGACATTTTCGGTCTCTTTCGAACTGCAATATTTATAAATTTAATAAAACTTTGCTCATGTTCTGAACCACTGATAGTTGGATAATATTCGGTTGAAAGAGACAAGAACAAATGAAACAGGAAGTTAGGAATGTAGGTAAATTTTCGGCGTCAACGCCATCTTCAGGCTCAAATTATGTGTTATATAGTAGTGTTAAAAGTATTAAAACAGTTTTAATACTTTCAACACTATATTTGCCTACATTCCTAACTTCCTGTTTCATTTGTCCTTGCCTCTTTCAATCGGATATTATCCAACTATTAGTATTTCATCATGATACTAATAAACAGCGAACTACTCTAACATTAAATGTTCTGAACCTTTAAACAGTTTTGGTCTCATTTCAACAAATATAAAAAGTTTTGGAGAAATAAAGTACACTAACTCGTGACGGGTGGAAGAGCATCTTCTCTGGCAGCAGTGATAGGTTTATCGTCAATAGGTGGAAGAGGACCGACTGTCGCCTCTTCCTCATCACTGTACCCCTGTTCGTCTCCACTAGCACTATAGTGACTGAGACCAGATCTTGTAAGGGCTCTAGGTGCCACTATTTGGGGTTCAGCTTCTGACTCCGTATCGGAGTAGAAACTCTTCTCTTTTTCAACAGAATACGCTAAACTTGCTCGGGATTTGCTGTGTCTGGAACTTGCTGATGATTTGGAGCTGGCAAATGAGTGTTTGGAGCTCGCCCGTGAAGATTGACTCCTCAGAGAGTGTTTAGATATAGAGCTTGCTCGTGAGATTGATTTTTCAGAACGGGTTGATGCTCTTGAAACTTGCAGAGGTGCGTCTGATTCACTACTGCTGGAGGAAGAGTGGTGGGAGTCACTTTTCCCTGCTGCCCCCTCGTAGTCTGAATCGGAACTTGAGTAAGAATGAGCTTTTGATACACGACTACTTTTCTTTGAAGACGCTTTGCTCGAACTTCTATGTGAAGATGCACTTGATTTAGAACTAGCGCTGGAAGAACCCCTTAGATTAGAAAGGAAACCCTTACTTGATTTGGAGGAAGCGCTTGATTTTGAGGAAGCGCTTGATGCTCGACTTGAGACCTTGGAAATGGAACTTTTACTGGATGCTCGGCTCTCTTTTAGGCTAACAGGAGTTGATTTGCCAAGATCGGAGTGCACACTAAAAACCCTGGTTATTTTTGCGGACGCGTTACTCGCTTTTGAGCCTGACCTTGAGCTGGCTTTAGACTTTGATGCATCACTTTCAGATGAAGAGGAATCCTTTGCAGCCTCGAACATGGAATCATCAGATGACGAGCCGGAGCCAGAATCTTCTTTTTTCGCCATTTCAACCTTTTCAACTTTCTCACCTGGCAGGATTGATTCTTCAAGAGCTAATAGTTCGTCCACCATACTCTTTGCAGCTGCTGAGTGCGAGGATTTGGAGCTCGCACTTGAACTTCTGGATTTCTTGGAATGATCTGATTTTGCTGACTTTTTTGAGTGATCCGATTTGGCTGATGACTTCCTAGAGTGTGGTTTATCTTTTTTAGATTTCTTTTCATCGTCGCTGGAGAATATATCAGAATAATTATCGGACGAGTCTGAATCCTTTTTGGCGACAGTTGAGACCTGTTTTTTCTTGGCGTATTCTCGGGCTGACAATATTCTTGATTTGTTTGAAGCGGACGATGAAGGTCTACTACCATATTGGGGAGATCTTATGGACTTTTTACTGAGCCTTCCTACCGCTGCCGTTACCTTTACATCTTCTGAGCTGTCTGAAATGGAACCCTGATCTCGATCATCGCTCAGTTCGAATCCAACCATACCCATTGGCTTAGAACGGGACTTACTTCTTACACTTATTTTACTGCCTGGAGACTTTCGCTTGTCATATTCCTGTTCTGACTCTGATGAACTGCTATCACTGTGAGCTGGCGATTTAGAGGACTTGCCTTTTACTGTTGAAGCACGTGATGATGCTGCTGACTTCGCCGGTGGAGTCGCAGTTTTCGAGATGGCACTGCAATTGGACATGTCAAGGTCATAGTCAGAGTTATCACCCTGAAGAGATCTTAGGTATTTCTTTTCTTCAACGTACTCTGTTTTAGATTTGAGACTCCTTGCTGAAACGGTAGATGTTCTACTGTCTGTAACTCTAGAGCTCCCCACTGATTCCCTACTTTCCAGTGCTTGTCGGGCTGCGGAGGAGGCTCCCTCGGCGAGGTTCTTTGCAGAACCACTCATAGCTTTCTGTGGACTCCTCATAGGTTTCAGAGGACTGATAACTGAAGAAGCTCTTGAGCTTCCTTTTGAGCTATTGTCGTGATTTGGGCTTTTTAATTTTAGATCTAATCCCATCCCTCCTTTTGAACTCTTATCTTGATCTTTTGTTGGGCTCTTTAATTTTAAATCTAACCCAAATTCTCCTTCTTTCTTTGACTCACTTTTTGGAGACAATCTGCTGATCGGCTTTGATTGTGGAGATTGTTTGGAAGCACTACCGGTTTGATCTGAATCAGATCTTTGAGCAGGGCTTTTCCTCGTCGGTGTCAAGGTACCTGAAGTGGTGCGTGATCTTTGATCAGATTGTGGCCGAGGAGTCGCTGAATCGAATGAATAGTCACTCCCTGATTTATCAGATGATTCAGAAGACTTTCTTGATTTGGAGGACCTACCAGATTTGCTAGCTCTAGACTTCTTCTCTAAATCGTCCGCTACATTAATCTTATCCAATTTTGGCGCATCCAGCTTTTCAACCACCTTTTCTTTAGTTTGCAGGACTCCTGTTTCGAACTCCATCTCCTTTTTAATAGCAATTGATACACCTTTCTTTCCGTCTTCATCGGAACTGTCTGAGTCTGAATTTTTGCTACGTTTGTTCGATTCCGCACTTGACTTCCTGGATTTCTTACTTTTGGCGCTCGACTTTCTGGATTTTGTTGTTTCAGCGATCGATGACTGAGCCTTCAGATCAAATTCATTTTTGATTTCTTTGATTTCGTGTTCCACTTTTATTGATTCACTGATAACTTTGTTTTCCCCCTGAGTACCTTTTGGAGTTTTCGGTTTGGAGAGTGAGATTTCAGCATCTTTTTTGGGTGTACTCAGCTTACCAGTCTGCTCAACAACCTTTTCGTCGACACCAATTGCCTTTTTAACTGAAACCGAAGTTTCAGCAACTGCTACTGAACTTTCGACCACTGAAGTTGCAGATTTCACTTCTGATTTCGCAACTTCGGTTGTCGCCACGGCAGGTACGTTTGGTGAAACAGAAGGTATGGATTCTGATTTTTCTGTTTTAAGTGAAACATCTGGTTTGCTTATCTTTTCAGCAGTTGCTGACACAGACGTTTCAACTTCGCTGTCACCGCCCAACTTTTTAACATCCAATGTCGGCAGATTTTTATTGATCGAATCTAGTTTCAAGCCAGTCACGGACATAGATTGGTCTTTGTATGGCTTTGGAGTCTTGGCATCCTTTGAAGATTGGTCTTTTTCTGGCTTTGGAGTCTTGGCATCCTTTGAAGATTGGTCTTTTTCTGGCTTTGGAGTCTTGACATCCTTTGAAGATTGGTCTTTTTCTGGCTTTGGAGTCTTGACATCTTTTGAAGAGGCTGATGATTTTTCTTTTCCAGCTGCAGAGAGTAAGATTGCGGCTTCTTTGGTATCTGGAGTTAATATGCCTGATTCAAACTTTTTATCAATTGAAGCGGACGATTTGTCTTTGCCAACAGCAGCGACAAGGTTTGCAGTTTCTTCAACATCTGGAGTGAACATGCCAGATTCAGATTTCTTGACGTTCTTAGCAATCGAAGCGGAAGATTTTTCTTTTGAAACGGATGAAGATTGTCTACTTATTGGGGATCTAGCGGATTTCTGGCTTTTGGGAGACTTAGCAGCCTTTTTGCTTTTAGGAGACTTGCCTCTACTCGAAGAGCTTGAAGAACTTCTCGACGAATGCTTGCTTTTTGAAGAGTGGGAAGAGCGGCTGCTTCTAGAGCTCCTTGAAGATTTGCTACTCTTTGATGATTGGGAGGACCTGCTGCTTTTGGAAGATGCTGAAGAATCCGAGGAATAGTTGTCATTTTTCGATTCCCGTTTATCTTTGGACTTTTTGCTTGCAATTGAGTCGACGAAAGATACATCTTTAGATTTTATGAAGCTCTGTTGAGGCGTCTCAAAAGCTTCCGAGTATGAGTAGCTATCTTCCCTTGAAGGAGCCCTCTCCTTTTCTTCTTTATTTCCTTGTGTCTTAGGTTTAGACTCTGATGGGACACCTGTGGCACCTTTGCTGGAAAGAGTGCTTTGTTGGGACTCCCCACGGAGATGCTCCACAATTGCTGCAGTTTCCCGCTCGTGGGGTGTCAAAGAACGTGATTTCGTTGATCCTGAGGAAGGAGATCTTTTTTCAGCTGGCTTTGATGGTGCCTTTTCGGCTGGCTTTTGTGGCGTTGTTGGTTCCTTTTCAGCAGGCTTTGGCGTTGTTGATGATACCTTTTCATCAGGCTTTGGTGTTGTTGATGGTACCTTTTCAGCAGGCTTTGGTGTTGTTGATGGTGCCTTTTCAGCAGGCTTTGGTGTTGTCGATGGTGCCTTTTCAACTGGCTTTTGTGGCGTCGATGGTGCCTTTTCAGATGGCTTTGGTGTTGTTGATGATGCCTTTTCAGCAGGCTTTGGTGTCGTCGATGGTGCCTTTTCAGCTGGCTTTGGTGTCGTTGATAGTGCCTTTTCAGCTGGCATTTGTGTGGTTGATGGTTCCTTTTCAGTTGGCTTTTGTGGCGTTGATGGTGCCTTCTCAGCAGGCTTTGGTGTTGTTGATGGTGCCTTCTCAGCCAGCTCCTGTGGCGTTGATGGTGCCTTCTCAGCAGGCTTTGGTGTCGTCGATGGTGCCTTCTCAGCAGGCTTTGGTGTTGTTGATGGTGCCTTTTCAGCAGGCTTTGGTGTCGTCGATGGTGCCTTCTCAGCCAGCTCCTGTGGCGTTGCTGGCGCCTTTTCGGATGGATTTTGCGATGTTGATGGTGCCTTGCTGACTTCTGTTACCCCTGAAATGCTTGTGCGTTAGAATTAATATGCTTCATCTAATTAACAATTTAATTGACGATCAACGTTTGAGGTATAATGAACTGATGTTGTCCATTATAAATCTTTGTACGCCGAAGGTGGTCATGATAGTTCTTGGCTATAATAATTTAAATAAATCACCCGTTTCCTTGGCGGCAGATTGCTCTCCAACCTCCTGAAATAATTGTTAGGATTAACTTTACCTTTGAAAGTGCCTTGAAAACAATTGTATTTGTTGGGCAATGGTAGAGGGGATTATTTCAATGTTGTGAAGATATAGTTGATTTGAACCCAATTGCCGACATTGTCGATATTTTTTAGGGTTGTTATCTTACTTTATTTGGACATGAATTTCCTGGCCAAGTAAATCTTTAATTTAAAAATGATTTCATGAACAGTCAAACCTAAGGTGGCCATGTTTATTTTATTTTTAGGATTCGACCAATTTTTTGAAAGCCTCTCTTCCATATATGGAAACGGCGAATGCGCGACTACTCTGTCGTAATGACTAATGTTTTCTTTCCGCTGCTGTAAACAATTGACGTTACTTGATTTTTACGGATTGCAGCCATTACCAGTCCGGTAAACTTATTTTATAAATATTATAATTATTATTATTATTCGGACTGATTATAATGGCCAATGGCCATATTCCGTAAAGCTCAAGTACACGTCGACTTTTAACAGCAGCCGTAAAATCAAGTACATAATATGTAAATTTTTTACTGCAGCAAAAAAAACATCGCGCAGGAGCCAATGCAGCCCACCATAAAACACACTTTCGAAGCTAAGTTTAGTCCAATCTGAAACATAAAATCAAGTTGGGCACTTCTCCCACGATTTCTAGCCGGAATTGTGAGCGTGTGGACGGAATGGCTAAGAAATTAAGTTTTTAAAGTTTTTCCTTCTTGGCCACCTCGGCCACCATACATGTGATTTTATTATTTAAATGTTTTGCCCTTCGTTTTATTTCATGTAAATATGTAAGTGCCATCTAGTGGATACAGTGATCAAGAGCACCGCCAAGTGAACCACGTGCAGTTTCACAATTTAGACTTGAATACAATTTTTAATATTTGCAAGGAAATAATTTGGACCAGAAAAACTAACAGCCAGTCACTGATCAAACGTCTGGTCGGAAGACTTTGGGTCAGTAACCTACCTTATCGGACTTTATTTGAACAGACATTAATTGGACGCTGGAGGCCCTGTCGTTCATTTCAATGACCGTTCAAAATTATGTCCGTTCACGCAATGTCCGGTCAAATAACGTAAAGGAAGTTTCTTAGCGCATCAAAAATTAATTGTCTCTCAGCCTGGAAAGTGCACTTGTTTATTAGAAAAAATGAAGCAAGTGATTTTGGATTGCATACCAGAGTCCTTGCTTGAGTCATCTTAATAACTTTTCTTTCGGGAACACTTCTCTTCACGTCACATCCTTTGAAGAGAGATCAAAAAATAGTGACATATCCAAAGATTGACGACACACGAATAAAACTTGCTGCTTGATACACAACATAGAGCATCAAGATGAAAAACGCTTCTGGAAAATTAGCACAGTTTATCAGCCAGTTTACTGATTTTATAAATAGATATGGTGTTCATATCCTCTCAACAGTCCAAAAAGTATTTAACTTGCAAGCGACCACGTGGTCGTAACATTTCAAAAGTTTATGTAAACTAAAACTGAAATTTTCACCATTTAAATTAACACGTACGAAAGACAACTAAAACAACTCAAAGCTCAAAACTCGTTCCCTTTGATTAGCATAGTTTTATATGATACTTAACAATAGCAAGCACTCAACTGGTGGATTGCCTGGCAATTGTACACGTGACTTAGCCACGTGGTCCGCGTAATCCACCAGCGCAAGTCGGTTGAATAATCTGCATAATAATTCGTTCTAGAATTAGATTGGCTTTTAACAGAAAGGAAGATTTAACAAGACTTTTTGCATGTCAGACGAACGCACTGTATATGAAATACAGCACGTATATTGTACATTTTTTATTTGCTATGGGAAACAATCGAGACTTGCTACTCTTTATCTAGGTAAACTGTAGGTAAATATGAAGTAAAACACACAAAAGATTCGCTGTAAATTAATTAATGAGGACAGGAAAGACACTCGGTGGTCAGTTTGAGTTAAACGGCAAAAGTTTAGTAAATCTGCAGAAAGTTTTACATCACAATGATACACTCGGATGGTCCGTGTACCACAATACCAATTATTTTCCAAACAAAAGAACCGCAGTGTGCTACATTGTTACATATCAAGCTCCACTTTGTAAAGAAATCAACTGCAAGTTTTAAGAATATTGTTAATTACTCATATTGATTCTAACCAATAAACGATACAATCACTCGATATACGCTATGGATTCTATCTGGAATTTTCCTGCTATTGCTTTTTCCGCTTACTATAGTTGTATAGAATCTAGAGACCATATAATCAAGAAAATATAACGGTTGAAAAAACGAACAATCGTACGTGTTGAGCTAACAACTTCTGTCAAATTATCCAAAACCACAGCAGCCATTTTCAATGCTTAAACCTTCACACGTTATCTGTAGTTCTGAGAAGCAAAATGAATGGCCATGAATGGAGGTTAGGAGAGTTATCATCAATTGTCTAGCTCTGAGGTCATGTTTTCATCACGATATACAGTGTCAGAGCTCCTGTCAGGTGCAGCATACTATCTACGTTATGTTTCTGAAGAGTAAGAAGCAGGTTGTGATGTCTGTGATCATGTGAACATGACATTTCGTATGGCTGAGAGGGTGACCTGGATGAAGAATACTCTGATCTAAATCAAGTGCTCGTCCTTGAAAACAGGTTCCAATTTTAAACTCATAACGAAGTGAAAGTTTCTTAAAACGCTACAACCACAAGATCTAAAGATCCCTCTGAAGATAACAACAAGGTAACAGACATGATCCAGATAACTGAACATTTGATCCTTCAGTCGGCTAGTAAGTTACTGTGGTAACACAAAGAGTAAATGATATGAATAAAGACTAGTGCTCTAGCTAAACGAGTCAGAGGAAGTGTAATCATGTCTCGTCTTATTTAGTGTCATACTGTAATTGATGTCACTCTGAAGAGTATCCGCCCATGGCAGCCATTTATCAGCCTACACCGACAAATCGTGCTGTCAAAGATGTCGCCTTGATGATAATCCGCCCATATTCGCCCTACTTATCAATTATCATTCACATAACCATTTATCAACCTCCACCGTTGAATGGTTATAAATATCATCTTGGACCTTGGTGTTATTTCGTAAATCTTTAGTTGTGCAATGCACGAAAACTGTTTGCCCTCTCATTTTTTAAATTTTACTCGCTATTGCTTAACTATCAGCATCAGACCCAGATTAAAATCAGATTTTTAATATTTCTTGATTATGGTTAGACAAAATACAATTTTATCTCTTTCGAACAAAATAACCACGAAAACTTGACTATCAAATTTATTGAGTATTTTTCAATTCTAAGTCCTCAATCATCCTGGCGACCACCTCGTAATCGTATATTGGATATTCCCGTCTAATCTTCACGTCCACAAAGGAGTCTTCGTGCGATCCTAACAAGCTGTTTGTGGGTCTCGAAAGAGAACTCCAGTTTATCAGACTCTACCTCCACAAGCTCATCACCTCCACAGATCAGCATCTTGGTGTACTTGATTACCTGAAAAATATGGCGTTAGCTACTGGATACAATAGACAGTGTTAGCTACTGGAGACAATAGACAATGTTAGCTACTGGAGACAATAGACAGTGTTAGCTGCTGGATACAATAGACAATGTTAGCTACTGGAGACAATAGACAGTATTAGCTGCTGGATACAATAGACAGTGTTAGCTGCTGGATGCACTATGATATGTTATAGTTATATATCTGTCAATAGGTAAAAATATAAACCTGATTTTATGGTAGTTTGAATGAAGAACAATAAAGCTATTAATTACTGGAGGTAACATAAGACTAGTCATAACTTACCTCTTTAAAATCGATAGCTTTGACAGTGTCAATAATCAGATCAATGAGAGTTTCGTCAATGTGGAGATCCTCAAAGATACCACGTTCCTCAACTACAACGCTGAAATAATAGAGCTGTTAGTGACAGTGTCACTTATTTGAAATACATCAACCATTAAAGCATTAAGATATTTGCGAAGAGTTTTTTAGTAAAAGATAAGGTTGTTAGCATAAACTTACTTGGACTGAACTGCCACGAAGGCGACCATGCAAAGTACGAAATATTTCATATTATCTTGGGGGAGCTGTGGTTAGAGTAAAATATTACTAAACAGAAAATAAATAACTGCTAAAGTTTAGCGACCAAAAGAAAACAAAATTAAGGAAACTTTTAAATAACCATTCAATGGTATATTGATAAGCATATGCATCACTAATTTGATTCGAGGATCAATAAAACAAAGTGAAATATCGTCAAGTTATACATTTCTAAGCTATAGAAAATTATCCATTGTAGTTTGACTGAAGTCATCAAGAATTCTCCAAGAAGTTTGCTGAAAGTTTTTAGGATTCCGTAGACATTTTGATTCAGGAAGTTTCTAGAATTCACCGCAGACAGCATATCGGACCACCTTGATCATTTTGACAGCGAACTCGCCATCTAGAGCTGATCTCTTCTCCAGTTGATCACCTTCCTCTCCGCAGAACATCATCTTTATCAGCTCCCAGACCTGTGGGGGAATGAGATTCAGTTCCCTAATTACTAATTACTAATTACTGATTACTAATTACTAATTACTAATTACTAATTACTAATAACTACAAGATCTCAGTAGACTGTTTATTATACCCCAAATATCTGAGTTATGAAGATAATCATAAACATGCTGTACAAACCTTGCTAAAGTCGATGGTGTTGATAAGGTCGATAACCATGTGGATAATGTCCTCGGGGATGAAGGCCTTAAGAAGATCCTGTTCGTTGGCAGACACGATTCCACTGAGACACACCAGGGCTAGAATAAGGAATTTCATTTCGCAAGCTTGCTATCAGGGAGGGGTTGGGTTAGTGCAGGGTAAAGTTGCTGAAGCTTTTAATTTGAAGAGTATGAAATATGTTTAAAACTGTCACACAGTATGGTACTGATAAGTTTAGATTGAATAGTTTGATAGATCTTAGCAGTTACAATTTCCTAAGAAAGCAGTAAATACTAAAAGTCTTGATCACGCTAGCGTTGTATTTGTAAGAGAATTCGATTCCCTAAAAGAGAAGTTGATCCCTAAAGTTGAAAGTCATCTTGTTCTTGAGAGCTGTTTTACTGTTTTCCACAGAGTACACGTCTCAGGATCCTGATGACTTGTTTGCTGGTCTCGAAAGAGAACTGGAGATTTCCTGCCTCAGCCTTGTTGTCCTCACCGCAGATCAGCAGCTTAGCAGTTGCCATTACCTGAGAGAAGGAGTTGATTTAAATTAATAATTTAACTAAGTATGGCTCGTGATCAACGATATAAACTTCGCCAATTTGAATATTATGGCGATTCTGGTCTCCTTAATAATGTTAAGCAACTAGCAAGATACTGGATTCTTGAAGCAAGGAAGATTTCAATAAAACGTATACTTTAAGTCTTCCCCATTCTCATGATGCAGATCATTTGAACGATCAAAGCAAGTTTATTCACCTCAGAAGCAAGTTCCTTGAAGTCAATACTCTTAACAGCGTCAATTAGCAGGTCCACAAACTTGTCGTCAATGTGAAGTTCCTCCAGAAATCTTTCCTCGAGCCTGATAATGTATTTATATCCCAGTTACTCCTTACCTATACTATTAAACTTGATGAAGTTAATGTTCATAATCTATCGATGCAATTACTATTGAAGGTGTGAGAATATACTTGGTACCATCGTACTTCAACCCATGCTATACTTACTCGATGGAGTTGACTCCGACCAAAGCTACCAGTAAAAGTGCGAAGAATTTCATTGTGCTTGATTTATATCCTAGTATGGCAGAACTGTTAGTGGTTACCAATAACCTAAACTTTACTTTAAAAGTTTATAAGATTTAATGTTTAATGTTATTACTTGAACTTTAACGTATCAAATTAGAAGAAATTTCAATAATACAAAACAAAGCTGAAGAAAGACAAGTTCAAGTTGGAATCTAAGTATTTCTACTTTATTGTCAATCATCATCCTTATAGGCATATTCACAAGACTCTAAAGCCGGATATTGTCTAGTATCTGCCACAGATGGCGTATCTGACGACTTTGATGCTAGCATTGATATAATCAGTACTCCTCTCCTCAATCATAACATCTTGTTCTCCACACAGAAGAAGCTTGGTCAGCTGCCAAATCTGTAAGGGTAGGACTCGTTTCAAGATGTACATTAACATTTTGTTATGAAAAGATTACCATTAGATTGTACAACACAAAAACTAGTATTTGTCAGTACGTATTGTGTCACCTCCAATCGAATAAGGACAGAGCTGG